AGGGGCCAAATAATGAAAAGTCTTTTGTGCCTCACTCAGAAATTTAGACACTATAGTGTGGCATTGAAGAGTCAATAGAGAATTTTAGATAAGGTTAGAGGCGTGGGAAGATTTGTTTTTCAGAAATGCTACTTGTCAGGCTGTGAGATAGCTTAGTCTGTCCATACTGCCATAGCTCCTGCTGGTGTCCTTTTCTGACTGCGCCATGTCAGTCAGTGGTGAGAAGGGACTGCATGAGCTATTCTCTGGGGTGGGGGTTTTCAGCTCTGCTGCCTGTCCATGAGGCCACGTCTGTTGGTCTTCAGTCTGCTTTATGCACAACCCCCAAAGGCGCTGGCATAGTGTTGGATACAGAGTGAAATAAACCCTTGATGATTGCTTAGGGAATTGTTTTTATAAAATGGTATATGTTGTTTCTCTAAATTGGAATATTAGCCGCGGTGTCATCTCTGGGCACGGAGGATATTGGCTTCATGTATCACTGGATAGCACTGGACTGTGGTAAACTTCCTTTTTTTCTGTTCTTGTCTCTCTTTTTCTTTTTTTGTATTTCTGACTGAATGTTTTTGAGATCTCCATTAAGCACTGGGCTTATCTGAGTGCAATGTTTTATATTTGTGAGAAGCCCACACAAACAAATAATACTCTCTGTGGCTATGGAACAGAGATGTTCTCTGTGTGAGATTGATCTAGTGAATGCCGCCATGGAGATTGGATATACGACCTCTTTTTCCCTGGCCAGCCCAGGAATGGGCCCCCACATTGAAGCATCACATTCTTGGAGGAGGAAAGAGTCATGCGTTCTTAATGCATACTTTGGAGATTAAATCATAGTCATCCAAAGGACAGGAAGAGGGAGGACTTAAAAAATCTGGATGACAATCTAGACAAGCAGTGGGAGCACACTGTATTAAATTCTAAGGAGCCAGCTGATTACTGAATTTGATGTTGTGGTTTGATGACAGAGCTAGGGTTCTTAGTGACTAAATGTGTCTGCCAAAGTCTCTTTTTGTCTGCCAAGCTCTCATATGAGGCAAAGGGATAGAAATTTACTTCTTAGGAAGCTATTAATGTGTAAAACTGCTTTGAAGCATGAGTCTCCGAGATGAGCAAAGTAAAACACATTAGTAGTGAGAAATATAGTACTGAGATTGAATATTTTGTTAGGATCTGTGAGGGTGAAAAAGT